TTAGATAGATATAGATGAAGAGTGGGGGAGAGGATAAATAGGAATTATAAATAATTTAGGAAAAAGTGAAAGATAGTTAGTTTCCTAAAAAAAAAGAGATGAAAAAATGAGAAGAAAAGAGGAGATAAGCCATGTTAAGTGGCAACTCCTAGTGCTCTTAGAGGAAAGAAGGGACTGATGACATGGCAAGCTCTACCTCTATTTTAATATATATATATATATATAGAGAGAGAGATAGATAGATAGATAGATAGACAGATAGATAGAGAGAGAGAGAGATTTTATGAATAAAACAGTAGTTGTTTAATTTTCCTAGGAAAGAAAAGAAGATAAAATGCGCTTAACTAGGCAAATGATCAGATGTAAAAAACGAATGGGGCCTTGATTCCAAAAACTTTTTTTTTTTGAGTTTTGAGTATGGGCTGCATCTTTTGTGGGGATTAGTTCTTATAGACAATCAGTTTGGAGATATGAACAAATTAATATTTCTTGTATTGAGCATGAAAATTAAAAAACACACTTCAATGAAAAAAAAAACAGAATAAACAAATCATATTACTAAAACTAGAAGATAAGAAACAAAGATTACATCTTTAATTAATTCTGTAATTTTCCAGTTTTATTCACCCCAAATTAATAAAAAGAAAAAAATTAATTAATTTGAACAACTCTTCCACGAACGGTGAAGAAGAAGCAGCGGTAGTAACGGTCCCAATACATCCATATCTCATCGCCTGCGTTCAGTTCCCTTCTCCTCACAAAGTTCTCTCTCCAGTTGTCATTCAAAACGTAACACCTGCTGGCAGGCCACATCCTCAACGTCAACTCGTGATCCGAACTTGTATCCAGATCTTTGATTTCTACTCGCGTGCCTGCCCCGTTATTCATCTCCTCCACCTGCTCACCTTCCATGAATGGGAGTACGTGAACTTGAACCAACGCCTTTTTTAGCATAAGCCGAGAAAGGTTGTCTACATCGCTTATCGTCAGCGTCTTCTTTAATACCCAGGGATCTTCGTGCAGCTTCAATTCTGTCGATATACCGAAATGATCATCGTTTAATCCTCGGGGGCGATCATGGTAGCGATTCATCCTTTCAACTGCAGCAGGGTCGATCCGGAATAACTCATCACTTTGATCTCCTCTCTCAGGGCGGTTGTGTCGTGGATTCATCCTTTCATCAGCTGTGGCAGCGTGGACAACGGGGAATATGATTTTTTGTAGATTCCCGTTGTTGCTCTCCTCGCCGGCAAAGAAATCAGAGAAGGTGACTTGTTGTGCTTCAGTAGAAACTTGGTGAGAGTAAAATAATCCAACTGAAAGGGAAAGGGAAAGCCATTCCTTCATTCCTTGGGTATAGTCGAAGAATCAGCCGGCAACTTTTTTAATTCCATTGTCGAAACCCCTGCAGCTCGATCTGACTTCTTGATACTTCACCTTAGAATTATATTAGGACAGTACTGATCGGTCGCTCAACTCAAGTAGTATTTCTACTTTCTTGCTCAGATAGTTTGTTTATTTCCTTGTGAAGATCTGGTGCTTAAATACACAAAGCTGCATGCTACTTGTATTCATACTCAAACTCGGTTTCCTAATTTCACTTAAACTTTGGATTTAGAAAGTTTCTAATATTCACTTATTTCCTTTGTTTGGAAGGATTACAAATGCAAATTTGTAGAGTGCAAAACGAACATCTCATGTTATTCTCTCACAAAACCTTTCCCTTCTCCAATTTTGCAACTCATTTCTTAGATTTTTGCAAATCAAAATCATCACACGAAAATGTACTGCCACCATTTCCAGTCTCGGCGTTTAGCCCAATGGCAAAAAACATTGAATTGGACAGTAAATCTTTAACTGGACAATGTGATCATTTAGGGCTGTCAACGGGTTGGGACATGCATGGTAGAACCGGTCCCAAACTGACAAGAAATGCTAATAAGGTCTTAGAACCGATCCGGGATTATAATTTTAGACCCAAAACTGAATCAATCGATTCTTGGGTCCATTTGGTCAGACCCCATGGAATTTATTATAATAAACCTGCTGAAAATACCACACATTGGCTCAAGTCGGATCTGAATCGGTTTGGGATAGGGTAGAAGCGGCCCTGACCCAATTCAGATCATCAGTCTAAATCCTGGAACCAAAATCAATACAATCAATTCAGTCCGGTTGGGTCCATGGGGTCAGACCTGAAAGGCCTGATTATAATAAATCTGCCGAAAATATTATACATTGGCCCAAGGCGGATCTGAGTCAGTTTGGGATTGGGTAGAAGCGGTCCCAACAGACTCAGATCATCAGTCTAAATCCTGGAACCAAAACCGATACAATCAATTTCAGTTTCATCGAGTCCATTAGGTAAGGCCCAACCCATTGACAGCCCTATGATCATTAAACCGTTTGACTTGAACAACAGTTCACAATTTTATAAAATATATTTAAATTATTTTCTAAGACTTAAAATAAACAAAAATAAAATAAAATTATGATATCTCAGATCTGCGAGAGAAGGGGAGAGAGAAAGAACAAGATAGGGAGAGAAAGAGAGTAAGCGCAGTTGTCCAGCAAGCCATTGTAATGTGGGTTCCTCTTTTCTTTCCTTCTCAACCTTCTCACTCTCTTTGTCTCTCACTATATATATAGATAGATAGATAGATAGATAGATTAAGATGTTAAGTACACATCTATTTAGGGCCTGTTTGTTTTTTGAATTTTGAGATGAGGGAAGTTGGTCAATGGGTTTTTAGTTCCCATGGACCAAAATGTCCATGTTCTTTTTTTCAGATTTATATGGGGTCTATGGAAATTTTTTTTCCTGGGTATCACTTTCCTGTAACAAAATTGCCTCTATTAATAATGGCCTTTTATGGCTAAAACGGTCATTATCTTATTTACCTAAGAAATAAAAAAACATGGATAGATATACTTATCCAGATAAGTGTTTCCTGAGAAATATTTACCCGGATAAATAACTTTCCAAAAAACGAATGGGGCCTTAACTCAAATAGTCTGTTAATCCAGAAAATAGAGACCAAAGCATGAAAGCAATTCTGTTTACGGATCGTTTTTAAAACCTTGGTTGGATATATAGGATTTGTGAGCATTGAACAATAAAGATATATATGTTAAAAATTTTAACAAATTATATACTTAGTCGGCCCAAGAAAACTTTAAATTGCAGTCTGAAGTTGCAGTGTTTTACCTTCACAGTACACACAAATTCATATGAGGCTGTCTTTGATATTGGATCACTGTGCATTTTAGAAACAGAAAGCTCAAAATTTATGTGAAGTTATGTTTGACTTCGACAGAAATATAATCCTATTTCTGTGTTTTTTTTTGGTTTTCTGAAATCTGAAACCAATAAAAAGACGATTAAAAACTAGAAACATGTTTAAGGCTGACTTGGTATTTTGTGTACAAATGGGAAATTTTTATAAATCCTCGTACAAGTACTTCTTCAAAGCTCTTATGGATGCATCAAAATCTACATTCAGGTGGAGTTGGCAAATAGAAATATGTTGGGCAAATTGTTAATTCCAATTTGTCAACAGTGGGGCAATGGAGGATATGTGTGTCATAGCTCATAGGTAGGTGTTTTACAAAATTAAATAAATGAAAATTTGTAAAATGGAGTACACCATAATTTTCACAAATATATTTTTATTTTGAAAGGATTGACTTGGACTACTATTTTGTGTTTAATGCATAGATCGAAATTTTCTAAACCCTATAAACCCTCAAGTTTTTCTTTAAATCCCTTATGGATTACAGAAAGCCATATTCAAGTGGACTCGGGGTCCAAAGTATAAATAAAAATCATTATCATCCTAACCTTATCCTAAATATTGTGAAAGTTCGGTTTCGTGAACAAGGGCGGAGCTAATATTTTTTGTAGAGGGGGCAAAAAACTAATAAACATCAATGAGGGCCAAAAGCTTCTTAACATGAGCAGGGGAACCGAAATAAAGGCAAGATTTAAAATGGGCATTGTGAGGTTTTTCAAGGCACATGGGGGCCATGGCCCCCCTCTACCACTCCTGCCTCCGCCCTTGTGTATGAATCCTGTTGTCATTCTGTTCTATATTTAATGTTATGCCCATTATTAAATTATGAGTATTTAAATCATTTCTTATTATTTCAATTAAGGTTTTTAAAATTAAATCAGACAACAAACTGTTTAGGGGTCTGGTTCTTGAGTTGAACGGTTTAATCATTCGAATCAAACAAATGGCCTGTTTTGACAAAAAATTTAAAAAAAAAAATAAAAAACAGCCAAAAATGTTGTTTGAATCGATGACTCGACCACCTGGGTCAGCTGTTCACTGACCAAATCAATGGTTTTTGGCAAAAAGACGGTTCTAGGATGAAACAGAACCGGTCAAATGACCAATTTCCGGTTTTTCGGGTCCGATTTTGAAGACATTGACTTCAACCTATGTCCTTTTTGGTCTGCTACTAGTTCTTCTACCCCTTTCAACTTGCAAGAGAGATAAAAATAAGAGATGGAAACTAACATTCATTCAATCAGAATTTTTAACGGAATATCTATTCCTTTCAAACCACATAAGAAAACATGTTTTTATATCTCCATTCTCATATCAAGAAAAAAAAAAAAGAAAAGAAAAAGAAAAACCTAGATAGCCATGAATATGTTTTCAAACCAAATGTCTGACTCAATTTTCTTGAATTCATAATATACCAAAATCACTCAATTTTATAGAGCAAAACTTCAATATTTTTAACTACGGTTCCTTTCGTTCCTCCATGATCGCTTGGATTCTCCCCATAACCTGTAAATAAAATATAACAGAGATGGCCATGATAGCAGAATATCTTGAGTCATGCCAGTTCTTTTAAATCGAAATTCTAAGGGTAAAATAAAAAATAAAAACGTCTTACAACAAATATTCAATTCAACAATTCCTATAGAAGCAGAAAGAATTCTTATCATATGTTTATGGAAATTAGAGGGTGCAACCATAAAAGAAACATATTGGATTTTCGTGATAAAACGTGGAGAATGCTCTGTTTTCCGTAAAAACAAAGGGTAGAGAACAGAGATTTGATATGACAACTTTGTTTATTTTCAAAAATCATCTTAATCAAGCTACATTTATATATAACATCTGTTCTGTGCAATTGACATCAACTTGGATTGAAATATTGTCTTCATCATTGACATGATCAAAGTGAGCTTTCTTTCACAGACACCAGAGATAAAGAGAGATGAGAAGGTGGGTGATAGGCTCTGGTTTATCCACATTGGATACAACCCAAGATTTTCCAAAGCTTGCGCGTTCTTCTACTGATTTTACCCACCATCTTTGGGACAATGAAAGACATGAACTGGAGGAAAGGTTGTAATGGCATCACAGGCGACGCTGACACGGTAGCATTCCCTCTTGAAGAAACAACCTCTTCACTGTAACAACTGCCGCTCTTGCGCAGGTAGAAGTTTCTGGTCCCAACATCCCCAATCTTCTCCGTCTTATCGATACCTGCCAAAACACGGGATTCAAACTATAGTTCGCAATCATAGGTCGAAATGCTTTCGCTTGATTAATTCCCAGTTTCCATGATCGAAGAAAAGGAAAGGCAGAGCTTACTTTCAAGGCTGAAGTAGGACTGAAACAACTCGAATGAAGAAGCGGCATTTCCATCTAGCAGAGGGCTTCGCCCTTCCTCGTTATACCTGTGAGCGACAAGCCTTATCATCTCTTCTACCGTCGAACACAATCGGACCATGGCCCGGACCGGTCCCGGACTTCCTTCCACCGTTACATTCACCACCACCTTCGCATCCTTGCTGTAGTTTCCCTGCAGAAAATGCCCAGAATTCTGGAATTTATTCTTCAATGAATTATTGATCAAGAGAAAAGATGGAATTGCAAACTAATGGGTGTTATCTACCTCTGTATTATCATGAAAAGATGCCGGAGATGAGAGGGGAGATGTTGTCTTGAAGATGTCTACACATGTGTGGGGCCGATAGAGTAGAATATTGGTGTTCGGCCAACGGTCTTCTTCGTCGTTCAAGATCAATCCCGGAGCCGCGGTCCAAAGGATTGGTTCCGATGAGCAACGCTGCAGAATTTTGATGGGCTTTGACGGTTTCGATCGCCGAGGAGTCGGAGTTCGCCGGTGAGACGACGCCCGGGGTTGCGGGGGTCTAATTTTCCGGCCTTTTACCGGAGTTAGACTCCGGCGACTTGTGTCCGACATAGAAAGGGAGATCAAATTTGGGAGGATGAGGCCGTTAGGTTTTCAGTTTTTAGTTGGAAGAGGGGAGTAGAGTGGGCTGCGCTGAGTGCTGACTCGCTGGTTTTGGGAGTTGGGAGTTGGGAGTTGGAAGTGGTGAACGGTAGTTGGATCGGAATTCAGAGGGTGCGTTTGGGTGTGAATCCGAATTAGGTGCATTTGTTGGGTATTGTATGTAAGGGGCTATTTAAAAGTTTATGAAGTCAGAGGTTCGAGTGGTTGTAGCCTCTCCTGTGAGGCCCGTGGGGCATATATACTTGATGCCTATTAGGTGTGATCATTTTCGGCCCGGTTCGGCAATATATTATATTTATTATGTATCATAAATTATATGTAATTAATATTATTTATTCTTTATACAAATATTTTATATTAAATATTTGAATGAACTCACATGGGAGAAAATTATTTATTATCCGGTTGTCCCTTCTTAGATAGAAGAGATAGAAGAAGGCTTGGGCCATTTAGTTTCCGCATTTTTTATGTTTTTCTCTAACTTTTGCTATCTATCTTTCTTTCATAATTAATCTACGATACTTTTTTACAATTTTTATACTATTTTGCAATTTTTGGCACTTTTTATATTTTCTTTTTTCTCTTTTTTTTTTTTTGTAAATTCTGCTATTCGTCCTACAATTTTTATGATTTTCCGTAATTTCTGTATTTTTCTATTCTGTAGTTTCTGTTTAATTTTCTGAGTTTTATCATATTTTGTAATAACAGTTTTATTAAATTTGAGAATGGAATGGAATGGAAATTTTTTATTTAATTAGGTTAGAACGATCTACATTAAAATGAATTGAATTGGATTGGATTGGATCTCGGTTATTTGTAATATATTCATTCATATTGGATCAGATCCGATTGAATCAAAACCTGATCCATTGACAACCCCACTTTGAAAGACTTCATCTCTAATTTTATCCTTTCTAGTCCAATCTCTTTATCCCGTTAAGTTCAAACGAGTCAGAAATGAAACCATTTGAAGGAACTTAGTAATAATTACACTGTACATGATAAAATGAGAGAAAGTTGACTAAGATTTGTTTACTGCAATACCATTTATAGTTGAAGGGACTGACCCACAAAGACATGGCCAAAGTAGAAAGTAAAGATTCAAGCGCCGACCTCTTATAGTTGTCGCTTGATGTTTAGATGATGATGATGTGACTTGTTTGGGAGGAGAATATGGAACCATTGATTAACATTTGGGACACTTGACAAGGATTCAAAGGGAAACAAAGGGCTGAGAATCATGGTTTTTAAAATCGGATTGGACCGGACGGTCGGATTAGAAAAATTGGGAATCGATATGTTCTGCCCCAGAACTATAATTTCTTCAAAAATTGTTGATTTAGTCAATAAATCGTTGACCTGAGTGATCAAACTGTTTAAATTGTTCAAACCAACAAACGGTTTTGATAGTTTTTAAAATTTTTAATTTTTATTGTCAAAATGAATCGTCTATTCAATGATCGAACCGTTTGACCCAAAAACCAAACCTCTAACCTATTTATTAACAGATTCAGTTTTAAAAGCCTTAATGAGAACTATAATACTGGAAATATATGATATAGAAAAAGTTTACGACCACACGACCAATCAGGTGATATTAATCAAAATCCATGGTAATGATAGTGTATTGATTGGTCAAAGCTTAGACTAAGTACCATGTCTTTCCCGTACAATAGATTTTTCGAAAAACAAATCAACATAGAAAAGAATTGACGACATAAAGCAAGAAGAGTATCCCCATCAACTTTTTTTCGCTACTAGCTAATGTGAAAAGAAATTTAGTAGTAATCATTATTTAATATAGTTATTAAAATAAAATCAAGGCAAAATCACAAACTTAGTTTTTTTTCATAACTCTAATGTACAAAGATTATTACAACTTTGAAGAACAATTAATTACATGATAAATATTCTAGTCAATAATTATCAATAATATAAAAAAAAAAGAAATCTAGAGAGTAGATAATCACTTCTGTTAGTTGGATAAACATTATTTGTCTTTTACTTTTTACTTTCGTGTAGAATTTTTTATTGTCGGTCACAAAGGTACAATAATGGGTCAATTGAGAATTACGTGAGAGAGAAGAAAGAGATGGTATGATTGTAAATAGTTAAATATTCAATAACAAGTATAAAAGAAAAACAATATTATAATTACATTTGTCCCCCATGATAGTATTATTTAAATAATTAGAAATTTAGTGTCACATTATATAATAATATAAATATATAGATACTTAGTAAAGAACAAATTTTAAAAATTTATAAGGATAATTTTGAAAAACAAAACTTACATCATGGAGAAAAGGGAGAGCATGAAACTCTCTCTTTTATAATAGGTACTAGCAAAAAGGCCAATGCTAAGCACGAGTAAAGAAGATAAAGAGAAAAGTAAACAAAAAACTTAGGCACTACCTTCTTCATGTAGGTGAAAGGTCGATGCTCAGCATAAGACAACAAAGACTATTAAAATAATATTATAATATTATCTTATTTATTTATATATTAATACGTCAAACATTTTTACTTAATATTATCTATCAAATTTACTATTTCAAACATAAACATATGATAAAAGTTATAAAAAATCACACACATTAGGCCTGGGCTCGAGTCCATGGGCCTAAAATTATGACCAAATTCGACTTAATAATGGCTCGGGATGGGTCAGCCCGTTGGGCTAACCGACCCATGAACAAGTTTAGGTAGACCCAACCCATTGATAACCCTAATCTAGTTACCTTTTTTGCTAGTAATTATAGTTTGTTAGTAAATCATTCTTTCTTAACTAAATAAATAATTTAAAAATAAAATAAAAAAGCAGAGAAGTACAGACAGGCCCAATGCACATATCTAATTTCCACTACAGAGGTATAAACATTCAAAATGTGAAAATCCCCAACTCTATACACTAATGCTCGCCTATGAATTGGCATCAATTCCGAGCTGGCACCCACCCCAACTATACTTTGTCCCTAAAAATTCTGACCTTGGGCTGAACCGACATTCTCCTAATAAAAAAGTAATAAATAAAAATAAATAAAATACTCTAATTTTATTAAATAAATAAATATTTAGATAATGCCGACCTCGTAAGTTCCCTCGACCTCTCCCCCAAGGTTGTCTCCACCTTCAATGGCCGTCAGTATACTCCATCCCCACTCCTTGATCTTTTCATCCCCCTGCTAAGAGCCTCCCTAAAACCCCTCTGGGCGACCACATCGATCCGTCGAGCCCAAACTCCCCATGGTCTCGAGGAATAATCAGAAATGTAAGGCATCGCCTGAAGCTCCCCCAATCTGTCACTCCGATAGCGAGAAGTAGACATCGATCGACGATAGTGGAAGCCCATTGTCCATTGTTCGATCGATGGTCACGGATTGTCTTTTGCAGCAAATTCCCTTTACGTTAATTGACTCAAAAGCTCGAGAACAACCAGATGGCAACGGTGGCAGAAATGTCGGCTTTGCTCAAATTGGGATGGGAATTAAGTCATAGAGGAGTTGGGGTTAGAGGTGGCGACTGTTATGTTTGTGCCTTGAATTCTTTGTGGCGACCCACTTAATGAATCCACTCCGAATTGATTTGAGAAAAACCCGAAGGAAAATTTTCATAGTGGTTTGTGGTGGATGCGTAGGGCTTAGACCCGACCCATATTCATCTTATAGGTCCGAACCGAATATGAAGAGTCATGTATTTCGGGGGTTTTCTCTCTTGTATACAGAAGTCTGAGTCTTGTGGGAGTGAGAGTGAGACATTGGACGTATTTGGGGCTTAGGGTTTTCTATGAGAGCACAACTCTATATTTCTTCTCCATTACCTACTTCATAGTGGATTTCTGTTCCTCCTTCGCCCATGGATATAGGCTATAAGCCGAACCACGTAAATCTGTGTGTTCTTTGTGCTTGCTTTCTCTTTATCTTTGTTTTATTTTCATTTGAGTACCATTACGAATCTGTTTTCTTGGGTTTTCATGCAACAAACTGGTATCAAAACCCTATTTTTCATTTGGCACTTATAATGTCATCAATAAAGTTTGATATTGAGAAGTTCGATGGTAGCATCAGTTTCAGTATTTGGCAAGTCAAGATGCATGCCATCTTGGGTCAATACAGACTACACAAAGATCTGTACGGGAAGGAGAAAAACTGTTCCTATTTTGGATGGCTAAAGGTACACCCATAAAATCTCATTGATGAATTTAACTCTATTATCATGGACCTGCAAAATATTGATGTTAAGGTTGAAGATGAAGACAAAGCCCTTTTGTTACTTTGTTACTTACCACCCTCGTATAAGTCTTATAGAGAGTTTCTCATCTATGGAAGAGACACCATTAGTACAGAGGATGTTAAAAAGGCATTACTCTCTAAAGAGGTGATTGATAAATATTTGACTATGAATAGGGTGATAGTCAAGACTCTAGATTGTTTGCAAGAGGGAGGTCTAAGGATAATGGCTCAAGTATTAAATCTAAGTCTAGATCAAAATCTAGACATAAGAACTTGACCTGTAACTACTGTCACAAGAAAAGGAACATTAAGTCAGAATGTTATAAGTTGAAAAATAAAAACCAAAATGAAGAAAAGAAAACAAAAATAACTCTACAGAGGCTACTGTGGCCGAGGATGAGAATGTGGATATTCTCTTAGTGGCAGATGATAGAACAAGATCCAAGGATGAATGGATTCTGGATTCAGGTTGTTCCTACCATATGTGTCCCAACAGGGACTAATTCTCCACCTACAAATCTATTAATGGTGGAGTTGTATTGATGGGTAATAATGTCTCCTGTAAAACTGTGGGAAAAGGAACAATTTGAATCAGAATGCATGATGGTGTTGTGAGAACATTAACAAATGTACCGGACTTAAAGAAAAATTCCATCTTTCTTGGCACTCTAGATGCTGAAGGGTGTAAATATTCAGCTGAAGGTGGAGTTCTGAAAATCAATAGGGGTGCTCCTGTTGTGATGAAAGGCATGAAGATAGGAAGTCTGTATGTGCTGCAGGGTACTACTATCACAGGTTCAATTGCAATTTTACATCATCTCTATCTGAGTCTGACACCACCAAGTTATGGCACATGAGGCTAGGACATATGAGTGAAAGGGGACTTACTATGTTAAGTAGGAGAGGCCTTCTTTGTGGCGAAAGTATAGTAAATCTTGACTTCTATGAACATTGTTTTTTTGGGAAACAGAAAAGAACTAGTTTCAGTACAGCCGTTCATAGGACAAAGGGCACTTTGGATTATGTTCACTTAGATCTATGGGGACCTTCACAAGTTCCATAAAAGGGTGGTGCTCGATATCTTCTTACCATCATCGATGATTACTCCAGGAAGGTATGGGTTTATTTTCTGAAGCATAAGAATGATGTATTTGTGACTTTTAAACATTGCAAAACTTTGCTTGAAAAGCAAACAGAAAAACAGGTCAAGCGGTTGAGAACAGATAATGGTTTAGAGTTTTGTGAAAATGAATTTAATGAGTTTTGCAAAAATGAAGGCATTATAAGGCATCGTACTGTTGTCAAAACACTGCAGTAGAATGGAGTTGCAGAACATATGAACAAAACTCTATTAGAGAGAGCAAGGTGCATGTTGTCAAATGCTGGTCTCTCAAAGGATTTTTGGGCGAAAGCAGTTAATATGACTTGTCACCTGGTAAATCGATCTCCATCTACAACCATTGAATGTAAGACTCCAGAAAAGGTATGGTCTGGCAACCCTCCTAATTATTCAACTTTAAAAATATTTGGTTGTTCAGCATATGCACATGTTAATGAAGGCAAGTTTGAGCCTAGGGCCAAGAAGTGCATATTTCTTGGTTATGCTTAAGGTGTGGATACAGTTTGTGGTATCCTCATCCTAAATCACCAAAATTCATAGTTAGTAGAGATGTTACTTTTGATGAATCAACTATGCTTAACCCAAGAAAGGAGTCTTCAAATTCTTATGATGTAAATAAAACACAAGGTTAAGGAAAGATGGTGGAGTTAGAAGTTAAAAGTGTTTTCTCACCTTAGCTTACATCAGTCCAGGTGCCCATTTCTACTGAGATAGAAGAACATGTACAAGAGAAAGAAGAGGAACAGTATTCTATTGCTACAGGTGGAACAAGGAGAGAGATTAGACCTCCCCAGAGATATGGTTATGCTGAACAAATTTATATGCATCAATCCGAGGGTTTTGTTGTTGAAGGGATGAAAGACCACGTTTGCTTGTTAAAAAAATCTCTATATGGCTTAAAACAATCTCCTAGGCAATGGTATAGAAGATTTGACTCTATTATAGTGGCTCTTGGTTATTCTAGTTGCAAGTATAATAGTTGTGTTTATTTCAGGAAACTTGTAGATGATTCTCTTGTTCACTTGTTGCTTTATGTTGATGATATGCTCATTGCAGCAAGATTAATATCTGAGATCAATAAATTAAAAACACAGTTGAGTGGTGAGTTCAAAATGAAAGATTTGGATGCAACAAAGAAAAATTCTTGGCATGAAGATTCAGATGGATCGAAAAGTAGGGAAGTTGTATTTGACTCAATAGAAGTATGTTGAAAAGGTATTACTCATATGCCCATTTCAGACTTTCAGCAAATTTGTCACCACAGACAGATGAAGAATAAAAATATGTCACATGTTCCCTACTCCAGTGCAGTTGGGAGTATTATGTATGCCATGGTTTACACACGACCTAATATTTTACATGCAGTTAGTATGGTGAGCAGATATATGTCATGTCCTAACAAGACACATTGGCAGGCAGTGAAGTGGATTCTTAGATACCTGAAAGGTACATCAGATACTTGTTTGGAGTTTGGGAGGAGTTGTGACAGTTTGATGGGTTATGTTGATTCAGATTATGCGGGTGATCTTGACAGGAGAAGATCACTCATAGGTTATGTATTTTCTATTGGTGGTTGTGTTGTTAGTTGGAAAGCTACTTTACAGTCTACATTTGCTTTATCTACTATTGAAGTTGAGTATGGTAGTGACTGAGGCAGTTAAAGAAGCCATTTGGTTGAGAGGTTTGTTTGGTGAACTCAGTTTGGGTCTAAAGGTGACTGTTGTTTACTGTGATAGTCAGAGTGCTATTCATCTGACTAAGGATCAAATGTACCATGAGAGGACAAAACACTTTGACGTGAGGTACCATTTTGTTCGTGATGTTGTAGAACAAGGAGATATCATTGTGAAGAAGATTGGTACTGCAGATAACCCAGCTGATATGTTAACAAAGCCTCTTCTTGTGGCTAAGTTCAAGCATTGCTTGGACTTGATTGGTGTTTGCAGCATTTGAGTTTTCCCATTAGGGCTTTTGTTGGAGAAGGTAGAGGGAAGTTACTATTCAGTGATGCTTGAGAGAATTCAAGCTAAGGTGGCGATTGTTATGTTTGTGCCTTGATTTCTTTGTGGCAACCCGCTTCATGAATCCACTCCGAATTAATTTGAGAAAAACCCGAAAGCAAAATTTCATAGTGGTTTGTGGTGGAGGCGTAGGGCTTGGACCCAACCCATATTCATCTTATAGGTCCGAACCGAATACGAAGAGTCGTTTATTTCAGGGGTTTTTCTCTCTCGTATACAAAAGTCTGAGTCTTGTGGGGGTGTGAGTGAGACATTGGGTTTATTTGGGGCTTAGGGTACCCAACCCATATTCATCTTATAGGTCCGAACCGAATACAAAGAGTTATGTATTTCGAGGGTTTTCTCTTGTATACAAAAGTCTGAGTCTTGTGGGAATGTGAGTGAGACATTGGGTGTATTTGGGGCTTAGGGTTTTCTGTGAGAGCACAACTCTATATTTTTTCTTCATTACCTACTTCATAGTGGATTTCTGTTCCTCCTTCACCCATGGACGTAGGCTATAAGCCAAACCACGTAAATCTGTGTATTCTCTGTGCTTGCTTTCTCTTTATCTCTATTTTATTTTCATTTGAGTGTCATTACAAATCTGTTTTCTTGGATTTTCCTGCAACAGCGACTAAGATGGAAAAATAGTAGTGGTGGTGGAGGATTTGGGGTTGGAGGTAACAACAATAACAATGGCATGATTAGATAGTTGAGCAGCTCAGGAAGTAACCAGGAGTTGAAACTCAAAGAAGGTAAGGTAATTGTGTTAATAAACTTTAGGGCCGGGCCGGGAAATGGATGTTAATAGGTAAATTATGAAATGGTGAAATTGATGCAGCATTCCGGTACTTCAAGAACTCATAAAATCGGCCAACCAAACCAATGGTGCATGTGAAAAATAAACATTTGTGTTTTGAAAGGGAGAACCATATTTGAACAAAAAAGTATATAAAAATAGAGCCTAGATACCATTAAGAAGCTAAACAAACTAACCTCTGAATGCCTAACTCCCCATGAAAATGGACTGTGCTTGGAGCTTGCAGACTTTTCACCCCATCCTTTATACTCGTATAATTCTGTAGATACATATACACACCTGGGCACCCTCTGGTACGATGACTCTAATGGAATGCTGCCACAGGTAACAACCTACAGGGAAGACATACAATGTATTACCTTTCAAGAATTTTATTTATTTTGAAAGAAATGGTAACTTCATTCAAAAGCAAGATGAAGAAACAAGTATTACTGATTTCAGAAACAAAACTGTAAAGCAAATTGCAAACATTCCATTGCAGAATTCGATCTATACTTGGATAGAGAAAATGAAAGAAACAGGTTTAAAACCTCACAACACAGAATACTCTTTTTCAGATAAAATAGAATAAAGATAGAGAGAACAAAACAGCAATTTAGGATCCAATAACTTGGTTTTGCCAGTAAACTAAGTGCCTGTTTGGGAGGGCTTTCACAAAGCGGATTCTGGCATTACAAGGTACGCCCCACGTGGAAAGCCCTCAAACCATGTTTATGAAAAAACCTGAAAAGCCAAAAATACATGCTCATAACACAAGAAGAAACCAACCATCCAGTGAAGCTATTCCTAGTAGCTTCTCCCAAATGGCTCAGTCAACTCAGCTCAAGCAACACTGTCAGCTAAGCATCATGAACCAGAGGTGGAGGGGAAAAAACAGAGAGTTCTCCGATTGAGAGGGATCTCTCCTTCAGGCGGCGTTGGTGGCGTACGTGGCGATCGACGGTGGAGGCAGGTATGATGGCGAGGGCGTTGGTGGTGAAGAAGGCCATTCCGAGGTGGAGGTTTCAGAGAGATTCCCAGGTGGAGGGGAATGATGGCGGGGGCGTTGGTGGGGAAGAATACCACTTCGACGTCGAGAAGAGCACAGGGGACTAAGCCGCGCGATGCAATGGGCTCTCCAGAACTTGCTCCGCGGCGGTGAAAAAACAGAGAGTTCTCCGATTGAGAGGGCTCTCTCCTTTAGGCGAAGTTGGTGGAGAGGTTTGCAAGAGAGAGGAGGGAAGCAGAGACTGTGAGAGACTGAGAGACTGTATAGACTGTGTAGACTGTCGTAACTTGTAAGAAAAGGGCCGCCATATCTGCGGCCCTGCCTGTGACTATGTTACACGCAACTGGATCTGTTGGAGCACAGGGGAGCCGGACTATGTTACACACGAGACTCTGCCTGTTAAGAGAGAGTCTCTGACAGACTCTCCTTTGCGAGACGTGACTGGATCCTTTGGAGGACAGGGGAGCCGGACTATGTTATACGCGAGACTCTCCTTTGCGAGAGATCCTCAGTTGGAGCACAGGGGAGCCGGACTTTGACTGTAGGATTAAGAATGAGTCCCTGCCTGTTAAGAGAGACGCGACTGGAGCACAGAGGAGCCGGACTGGGACTGTAAAATTAAGAGACTCTGCCTGTTAAGAGAGACGCGACTGGAGCACAAGGGAGACGGACGCGAAACTCTGCCTGTGACTTTACCCATGTTCATTTACCCTGTTCTTTTATTTTCCAAGCAAACAAGACAATGAAAAATCCATTATTATAAGGGGCATTTTTGTCTTATTCAAGTATTGCACTTGACAATTTTTTCCCAATGTGGAAAAATTATTTATCCACCCAGGAGATGAGTATCACTTATACCTAGGAAAATAAACTTTCCTGGGTCCTTGCATAAATATGAAAAAAGAACATGGGATTCTTGGTCAATGGGAATCAAAATCCAATTGACCAACTTCCCCCTCCCAAAATCCATTAAAAGAATGCCCCCTAAGAGAGAGTCTATGACACACTCTCCTTTGCGAGAGGATCCGTTGGGAACCAAGGCGGACGGACATGTGTCGAGCTTTACACGCGAGACTCTACCTGTTAAGAGAGACGCGACTGGATCTGTTGGAGCACAGGATCTGTTGGGAACCAATTTTTTGGTTTGGTTTCGATCAGTTCAGTTTTTCAGTTTTTTTGTTCACCCCTAACAAGGGGTGGGGCTGCCACTAGGGATGAATAAGGATGTGAATCCGGCCTGGATGAATAAGGCCCTATTTGTCCATGTTTCCACCCATTCCTATTCTTTTAAAAATTCTTGTACTAGAACAAGAATTTTATTTCTTGTTCCTCGGGATTAACAAAGGCGTTTGGCAAAGTGTTTTTCGATAACACATTTTTGTTCTACAAAAACAGGAATGACGTTTGGATAGCAAAACTATTTCTTAATATGAACAAACGAATTCAGATGATGGAAACTCGGCATCCGTTAGAGATGATTGTTATTGGAGATTAGTTTGGGTGAATATAGCTAGAGCAATGACAAGTAAAACAGAGCAATGACAAGTAAACAAGGTAGGAAGAGAAGGAATACACCTACCTATTTACATGAATCTGACCGGAAATGTCATCAGAGCTTTGTACCGTTCGCTTGTTGTCTGATTGTTAACGCAATAGGAGCCAAGGGAGTTCCCTCCTCTGAGATGTGCAGCGGCAATTAGGTAGTGTCGAATGAACGTAAGGTGGTTGTTTAGGGCTTGTTTCTATCATTTTGCATGAAATACCAAACATACCCCTTCTCTCACATGGGAATCAATGGCATGTGTTCGTTAATATGCATTAACATTGTGAGAACCATTAATTCTCTGGGAACGCATTCTTTGAGAGTGTTGATTTATCACTCCCAAAGAATGCATTCTTTGGGTGTTGTTCTCATGCATGAATAGCTTGTTTCTTTCTTTTTTTTTTTACCAAACACATTCCTACCCTACGAAAACACTAGGAATGATAGAAATGTTCTCACGGAACATTGCCAAACAGGACCTAAGGATGTGATATGAGACTCAACCAGACATGTCCTACACTTGGTACACCTATATTCAACTACGGATATTTCAACAAATGTTTCAATGCTGCAATGCCAGTTAACCAAAACTCAACTAAGACTGGTCCAACCTTAATCGATAGAATCAGGTCTATGCTGGTTTTCCTGTTAACTTGATCCACTGTACCAAAACTCAACTAAGACTGGCATATTCTGAACTTAGGGTCCATTTGGTTCACAGTTAAAATCAAAATTGGAGTCAGAATCCTTTAGAATTGAAATCGGAATGGTCTATTTGATTCAGACTGGAATGAGAATGGGAATTGAAATCAGCAGGAATGGGATTTTATTGCCAAGGAAGGGGGAGGGAATGACTATTCCCTCAAATGAAGGAATGCTATTCCACCAGGTATGGAATGAGAATCCGATTCCACCCAACCAAACAGTTGGAACTAGAATAGCCCATTCTAATTCCGATTCCAAACCCCTATTTCCGCAAATCAAACAAGGCCTTAGAGAGATTTAAAACGACACAAGTTTCCATTTGGCTTTACATAGAATGGAATTAAAGATGACCAAATCAATTTGTTTGATAGATAGCCCAAATTACCAAAGGCTTTACCTTCTATTATATATTCTGTATGATGGATTGGTTTGAGCATGCATTGCATCATAAATTGGACCATCTTTTTCACTCCTTCCATGGACACTCCATAGATGGACAGACCTGAACACTCGCCATGGAAGAAGCAAAATTGAATCAATTTCGAGTCCAAATTACTTGCACTTAGGCTCAGTTTGAAAGAAGTAGAAATACAAATATGTAGAATGTAAAATCTTGTATTTTATTTTGTAGGGTAAATAGCAGATTGGTACTCTGTACTTAGAGTCTAATTTCACTTTGGTACCCAAATTTCAAAACGTGTTAATTCAATACCTGAACTCTCCAACTGTCCCAGTTTAGTCCAAAACCATTAATTGCCGTTAAATGACATGTAAAAGGACACAAATACACTTCGAACCTCTTAATTAAAAGCGTATTGATAAAAGCAAAGGGATTGATGGTGGGTTTGAGGCAAACAAACCTGTGTAAACTCATGAAGTATATCTCTGTGCCTTGCTAGTTTCTGTGTTACAGAGGTAGTAAGTGCTGCAGATGTAGCACATCGGCTCATGGCATCATTGGTATCAAACAAAGATTGAATCAATAGACTTGGACCCAAGAGTGGGTGACCCAATATCTGCATAACCTGAAACATTTGTACAATCAACATAATAGACAACAACCAATAAAGCACTCTAAACAGCTCAAGCTTGAAATGGTTGAACAAGAAGCAGTATCAAGAAATTAATATAACCTCCTACAAAAACAATGCCATTTACATAATAAACCAAGCCCAACCGAAGCTTCATGTTACTAAAACTAAACACTAAATAAGAACGTACATAAGCTCACTATTTTCTTAATTTCCCCTTTTCCCCTTTTCATTTCATTTTAACCAGATTTATACCACAAACGAAACACACCAGCTTTGATCTCCCCATTTGGGTCCTACACTATTTCCAAATTCCATTACCCGACACTAAATTAAACGTTCCAAATATTCATGTACTGTAGCTATTGGAATTTAATCTTGAAGAAAATCTAATCTATGTTTTACAGAAACACGGATTGAAGGAAATAGATCAAAGAAGACATACCTCCTGCTTGGGTAAACCTTGCTCCGAGCTTAGCGTAGGAAGAGGACTTCACATTAAGATATCCCTTGGATCTTTCTGGCCTCTTTCCTCAATTCCTCCCAACCTGCCTCCTGCAACTCTAGATTTGGATCTGTCATTCGCAAAAGCAATCAACCCTAGACTTATCAGGAAAAGAACGTAGAGATCGAGAACAGGGAAGAAGAAGAAGAGAGGAGAAGAGAAATAATAATAGAATGGAGAGAGAAGTTAGATTGGTGGTGGGTTTGATGTTGTTCACCATTGCTTTGGTTTAATCTTGATTTTTAAGGAATATGATGATGGACAATGTTTTATTTTAAAGGGTAAGTTTGACATTTTTCAAATGTTTTAAATTGCACATGTCATCAGGTGATAAAGATAATTAATAGATTGCTAAGGACAATGATTAAACTAGCAGACTTCAAAAGTTTAAGTACTGGATTGACACCGTTTGAAATTTGGGTACCAAAGTGAGACTAGGCCCAAATACAAGATAATGATATGCAATTTACCCTATTTTGTATGTATTGTATTGTACATATTTATATTTGTACTCTTTTCAAATTGACACTAATACATACAATTATATACAAAACAATACAAAATACAAGATTTTGCACTCCACATATTTGTATTTGTACTCCTTCGAAATTGAGCCTAATTTCCTTTTTCATCATGCACTAATCTATTACCATGTTGGTAAGTCTGTCCCTAGGGTTGATCATTTTGGTGCGGACTGCCCTAAAAAATACCAAGCCTAGACAATTAATTTTCTTCTACACTTTGCGTGGTCAAGACCCACACTAAGCCCTAACGAAATGCAGGTTGGGCAAGGGCTAAGTAAAACTTAGGCATGCTCAGCCTGAAAACCAAAAAATCAAACCGAACTGAGAAAACCAAACAAAAAATGTGGTTAATCGAATCAATTCAATTTGGTATTTCTAAAAAATTGAAGGATTGGTTAGGTTTTCAGTTAACCTAAAAAACCAACTGTTAATCGAATCAACCGGTATATATTTAATATATATAACATATTATGTATATATGATATATATATGCATTATTTGTATAAATATATGCATATGTTATATTAATAATTATCTATTTATAATATATAATATAGTATATCATTTATTATTTATAATATGATATATTATATTTATTTATTTATTATATATGTTATAAATATTAAAAACCGGAGAACTAAAATTGAGCAACCAGTTAACTCGTGGTACCAGTTCGGTCTCAGTTCAAAGTATTGTAAAAACTGGTAGGACCGGTTCACTTCTAAAAAAATGCCCATGGTTTGGTTAATCAAACCGTGAGCACTCCTAGCCCTAAAACGTTGTTATTACACTATGAAAAACCATTTCAGAACCAACCTGGCCCATTATCATGTTTGTGTTTTCATCACATTATATGCATCTAATGACTAGGGATGCCAACAGGTCAGGTTCGGTATGAATTTACCTCAACCTGAACCTACCCGACCCAAAATTGAATGGAGAAGGGATACTAAACCTGCTCCACTCTGTCTCATATATAGTACACTTGTACTCAAATGACAGCCTAGGCCAAGAATACGATGAATTGGAATTTTCTCCTCATAGAGTGCACCTCACACCAACCTCATAATCTCATCCCACCATGTATTGGGAACAGCACCCCATGAATAACAATACAAAGTATGGGAGTTATTCCCGATATGTGGCTGGAACATGTTGTGAGGTTGGTCTGAGGAGCAGATTTGGACTCGAATATGATTAGGTTCTAACATAAACAGGTGTATCAGGAACCAAATGATATGTTATGGGGCATATCGTATCAAAATTTTGATATTTGGTTTTATATTCTACGAATTTGTATTTGTACTCCTTCCCAACTGACCCTAATATACAAATTGTTTTTGTTACATGGATTTGGGATCAACTTTGATTGTGAAAGATAGAAAGTGCAAGAAAGCGAACCAAAAGCTTTCTTTGGTACCTCCCATACCACATTAGATTCTCCACGTGTCCTAATGTTTTTTGTTTTCATTCTTTTCATACGTGCATGTGTAGCCATTTGGGGTCACCATGTTGCTCCTTCCATACAAGTACACATAACAAATCAGCAAGTGAAGATCATCCCTCTCCCACACCCCACATGTCTCTCCCTCATAACAAATATTGGATCATCCATTGCACCTGGATCTGATCTATTGACGATGGTTTAAGCAATCATTGACAAGAAAAGAAGGGAAGCTAGGTGATTCTTGTTGCCTATGTACTTTAGATCGTTTCTGTTGTGTGTTGTTGACTTGAGCAGTTCATTGTATATGTACTTATTATATAATGAACTAACAAGTTTGTTAGGGTATTCCATTTAGGACAACATGAGTATCAAACATTAGGGGCTGACTTGGTTGACAATGTCACCAAGACGGATGAAATAACATGCACATGTAAAGCTTGAGATATAAGTGGCCTAGCTTGTGCTCATGCACTTGTAGTGTTTACTTATACAAGAGGTAGGGTGGAGGACCTATGCAACAAAGCCTTCCACAAGGCCACCTATGCAAAGGTATACAATCACTTTAATCATGTTCTCCTAGGGTAGAAATACTGGAAACAAGTGCAATACCACCAAATTAGACCTCCCATAGTGAGGAAGAGGCCAAATTGACCCCCAACCTGTAGAAGAAGTGAAGAGGATGAGGCAGGCCCAGCATATCGTGCCCAACTAAAACGTAAGACAGTTAGGTGTTCAAATTGTAGTATGTTTGGGCACAACAGAAGGAATTGCAGAGCCCCTCCTCCAAATATGAACAGAGAGACTCTAGAGGTAAAATCACACAAGTCTCAACACAAAGAAACTTATTACCATCTATTTAACAGTGTACTAAATAGGGTATTTGAATTGTAGGTACAGAGGCATGTTGCTAATCAACATGATCCTACCCATACTACGAGAAGAAAAGTCTTGCCACCCAAGAGAGGGGTTATATCTACACAAGTTGTTGGTGATTCATACATGCCCCATCAAACTCCAATAACTTATGAAGTTGGGTCTTCATCAGGATTAGCAGTTGATAGTACAAGGGGAGGGTGTGGTAGAGGTGGTAGTACAAGAGAGAGGGGGAGGTCTGTTAGGGTTGGTAGAGGTAGTAGAATTGACATGGGGAACCTACAACATCCAGACATTGCTTCATCAAGGAAGACAGGTGAGGACACTTATTTGAATCATCATAACAATTTATTAATTCAGCTAAAATTTGTATTGATCTTCATTCCAATTGTGTGTGTAGGCAAAGGAACAAAGTAGCTAGGATTTGAGATGCTCCCACCATGAGAGCCCATATTTCAGACACTTAACCAACTCAATTACAGTTGTATTTTTTTTTTTTTTGAATTTTGATATATTTTGACACACCCATGGATAGACTGAAATATATTTTTGTGTATGCAAGGTGGATGAATGAAGACATGTGTTATTAGTTCATATATAGCATCCTAAGATACATTAAACTTTGAGCAAAACTAAAATGAAGGATAATCTAAGTTAACTTTTTTTAATATTCTCGTTAGTACCATTTAGTAGAGTTATACATTTCCTAGTGGAAAAAAATATATTAATATTCTCCTTAGTATCATATAGATGTCCCAGGGGCTTATGTATTTTATGTTGATTTCTATTTTTTTCATCTTTTCTTCTACATGTCTTTTTCTAATTCTGATATTCACCGTTTGACTTGGTAAAATGGCATGGTTGTGGTAAGCTTTATTAATTTATTTCAGGGAAACTCGATAGCAACTACACATCTCTTTACATGATTGAAAATGGATCTGTTTGCATCCTTAGATGTATAGTTTGGGTTGGCTCCATCATTTCTTTACATAATTGAAACTAGACAACAACTACACATGTATCATGATTAGGTATCTACGTCACATTGCATTGGGAGCCGGAGGGCTAGGTTTTTTTAATTTGACTTGTGTTTTGTTTAGGACCCACTATCTATGTCATAAGTGTTAGAAGTCTCAAGTCTAGATTCTTTAATTGACTTGGGAGAGGCACCAGGTGGAATGAGCAATTCAAACTATTACCAAATTCCTTGAATTCTTGGACTGGAAACCTTTATATCAGGTTTCTCTCACGCTCAGAATGGAAATTCAGGTTGTTACCATCTACAATCCGACTTGTCCACCTGAATGACCAGTAACTGATGTTTGTTAACAAAGCCTAAACTCTTTCTTATCAAACCTCCGCTGCCCTTACCTGGCAGTTATCATTATGTGTCCTTGGCAACGTTAAGGGAGGTTCGGAGTGAGTTAAGCCAATGCGCACAAATAGACATACTAGGCTCATCCTTTTATGTTGAGGTCAGTGCAAGTTTGTCTATGATTAAGAGTCTAAGGGGTGTTGAAGCTGGCTCATTCATGCTGGTCATCTTAGAGCTATGAGCCAAAACAATATTCACCAACTCTTCCATAATTATCTTGTTCATATATCGATAAAGCTTTTGAATTGGAGTTTCAATTGTTACATTAAATGAAAGTGTTTTGTCTCCTCCCCAAGGTAGCATTGCCGAGCGGGCGATCCCTGTCTTGTTTATCCAGCTAGCTTTTTCCCGTGGTACTCAAATTCTATTTGTGAGAGCTCTTGGCTACTTTTTTTTAAGGTAAGGTGAAAAAAGTATTCTAAATTAAAATGCCTATCTATAAAGCGTTGATAAGAAGAGGGAATAAGTCCCACAAAGAGATGAGAAGTGGGGGAAGAGTGAAATAACAATATCTTCTGGCCTCAAGACTACAGCCTAACACCCAAGTTACCCTGACTGTCAGCTAAATAAGTTGCTTCCCTCTTCCCATCATGAATTTTAACTACGAAAGTATTGAAAAATGTTTTATCTGGATAAAGAATAGGTGCCCAAGTTCTTGATCATTACCATTCGCCCATCTAAYCATGTTAAGAGAACCCTATTTTTTGTTTGATATGATGACTTGAAAAGAATCAAGAGTTTGGACAAAACTATGGCCATGCATGAGAGTTTCTGCTTTTGCAAAGGTTGCATCTTTGTACGGTTAGTATCAACGTTAACAGTATGATATTACCTTAATACAAGGTTAACAGTATGAAATCACTTTCTCATCAATCATCCCTACTTATTAAACAAGGGGAGAAAGTCACAACTAATCAATCAAACATAAGAGAGAGAGTGAGGTATGAGAATCATCCCTAC